TGTTCGCCTGGTATGGTAAATGCCGACACCCACAATACTATTGATGCCTCAGAGGCACGTGGGGGGAGCCTTACCATGTTTGTCTGGTATGGGGGTTGATGGCGCCCACAACACTGTAGGAGAAATGTCGGCGCCTACAACACTGCTTGGGATCTGTCATGCTAGGAAGGTCACAGGGTACTGTCCGGCATGTGTACAGGGTACGGTCCTTGGTATTACGATTAACTTGAGTGCCTTGCCTTACTTTATTTGTCCGTTTCCTAGTCCTTACCGAGCGAGCGTCCCCGGTTGGTTGGTCCTAGTCGGCTCTGATTGTGCCAGTTGGAGAGGAGCTATAAGCAGGGGTTTGGCGCATTCCCGGTCGGAGAAGCGGGTCGGAGTCAGAAGTGGTGTTTTGGTCAGGCCTTCCGGTTGGAGAGGCCGTCCGGAGGGGGGCGCTGATGGAAGCGAGCGTTGTTCCTCCATTGTGAGGCCTTCCGGTCGAAGAGGCAGGCCGGAGTCAGAAGCAGGCACTGTTCCTACTTTGTGAGGCCTTTCAGTCGGAGAGGTGGGTTGAAGTCGGAAGCGGACGCCGTTCCTCCTTGGCTAGGCCTTCCGGTCGGAGATTGGATTGTCCTTCTGGCCTATCGTTTAGGTGTTTGGGCCGGCCCAGGAGTTGTGTGTCGTTCGCAACGTTGTCTGCTAGATCGAACCTTTGCTGGGAAGCTAGTCCATGAGGGACACTGGGTTTATGAACCCAACATGTAGTTTGGTAAAGCTTTTTTAGTTATTTAGTGATTTAGTGATGTTTATTTAGCTAATTTAGATAGATAGTTATTGAGTGATTTAGTGATGTTTAATTAGCTAATTTAGCTAGATATTTAATTAGCTAATTTAGATAGATAGTTAGATAGTTAGGTAATTTAGTTATATAGGTAGTACTTGTAGTAGATGTAGTTAGATAGATAGGTGGTTTAGATTAGATACTTATTTATTTAGGTAGATAGTCGGAAACTTTTATATGTGAACCCGTAATAACTTTGGTGTTGTGCATACCAACTAGATGGACAACGTAGTCACCCTATATCATGGAGGAAGTGTGGAGGAAGGTGAGTTTGGGAATGTCAGTTTTATTGGAATGCAAAGGGTGCCAGTGATATTCGACGATCGGCCATTGTTTTGTGAGTTGTTTGGTAGGGCTCGTAATGAGCTTAAATGCAATTCAAATGAAGATGCCATCTTAGTTGAGGGGGTACTTCACCATGGCAGGTCAGGGACAATTTGAGGCGGTTGGTCCCAATTGCATCAGAGGCTCAATAGGACAAATATGTCAAAACTGTTATGAAGAATGAGTTTCAATGTTTGGATTTGGTTGTGCGAAAGTTGTCCAATGATCCCACCCCTCATGGGTATTCACCCCCTAATGTTCATTCACCCCCTCATGGGTTGTCGCTAGCACCAGAGAATCCAGCACCCTCTGGGCCTCTGTTACCCAACCGTGAGGTGGATGTGGAAGATGCGGTTGTGGTGCCCGATGCTCAATCCGCCCCCAATGAGATTGGTGTATGTCATGGTATCCATGCAGAATGTGGGACTGATGATGTTGTAGGTGCCCCTTAGGAGATCCCTTTGACCTAGAATCATCCTAGTAAGTGATTTAGTAACACTTTTGCTTTCGTTATTCTTTGTTCATTCCATTCCTTTGTCTCAGTGCTATCCATATTTGTGCTTTAAATGTAGGAGACAATCCTGATAATGATGGTTGTGCTCCTGTTCCTCCATCAACCAACATGGACCTAGGGTTTATGGCCTCTAACAGTGTAGATGTTGATATTGCGGATGATGAGGAGCTTTATGGTACATCAAGGGCTGTTGATTCTGATGATGACCAGCCAGTTGCAGCTTTGAGCGAACAAGAAATGGAGCTCATCAGATGCTTGTGTCCTGATCGTGATCCACTGGTTCATGAATTCAGCGACCTTAGTCATTATCAACATGCTTATGGAAAAGGAAGAGATGACGAGCTGCTAGAGGCTCCTGAGGCCGATGACAGCGTGGAAATTCAGAAGGGCATGGTCTTCAAGGACTTGCCCACGTTAAGATGGTGGCTACAGGAATATTCTATGAGGAGTAAGAGACCATTCAAGGTGAGGCATTCCCATGTGGAGCGCGTTACACAGTGGTGTGTGAGATGGCAGATTGCAATTGGAGGGTCTGTGCTCGCAAACAGAAGGCCACAGGGAAATTCAAGATCACCAAAATTGTAGGTCCACACACTTGTGCCCAGACAAATCTAAAACAGAAGCATAGACAGTTGACCTCTACCCTCATTGCCAGAAAGTTATACACAACTTTGAAGGGTCAGCCCAACTTGAAGGTTAGGACAATTATGGAGATGACTAAGGAGATATTTAAGTATGACATAAAGTATGAGAAAGCATGGAGGGCAAAGCAACGGGCCTAGAAGATGATATATGGGGACTGGGAGGAGGGGTACGAGCAGTTGCCTGCAATGTTTAATGCAATGAAAGCAGCAAATCCAGTCATGCATTACGTGTATATCCCGAAGCCGAATGAATGGAAGGACGGGAGGCAGATATTCTTTCGTGCATTCTGGTGCTTTCCCCAGTGCGTCGAGGCCTTTAGGCACTATCGTCCAGTGTTATCCATTGATGGTACTTTTCTACTTGGGAAGTACATGGGCACACTTTTGGTAGCTATTTCGTGTGACGCAGACAACGCATTGGTTCCTTTGGCTTTCGTTTTGGTGGAGAGGGAACAAAGATAGCTGGGGATGGTTCTTATGGCTTGTTAGGATCCATATCGTTGGCCCTCATTGGGAGGTAGGTGTAATATCTGATAGACACCAGGGCATACTCAGTGCCGTACAGGAGCAGATTCCAGGGTATGCACCTTTGCACCACCGTTGGTGCACTCGACACCTTGCCGAGAATTTACTTCGGAAGGATGGTACGAAGGACAACTTTCCTCTATTCAAGGAGGTTGCTCTCATGCTTGAGGTGCCATTCTTCGAGGAGAAGTTGGAGCAGCTAAAATGGCAACAAATGCAGAAGGTAGGCAGTGGCTGAGAGGATTGATGAGAGAACCTAAGAAATGGACAAGAGCATACGATGATGGTGGATGGAGGTACGAGTTTCAGACTAGCAACATGGCGGAGTCATTTAATAGTGTACTCAAGGGTATACGTGCCATGCCCATCAATGCCATTGAATCATTCACCTTTTATAGGCTAGTTGCATGATTTAACGAGAGACACGCTCAAGCAATGGCACTACAAAGTAATAATCAGAAATGGGCACCTAAACCTAAGAAGCATCTTGACAAGGCAAAGGAAAGGGCTGCCACACATGACGTCAATTGCTTTGACCACTGCATCGGCATGTACCAGGTCACAGAAAGGGGTGGTACAACGTCCGATGGTGAGGTCCGGCCATCAAGGAGTTATATTGTGATACTTAATAATTTCTCATGCTGATGTGGGAAAACTAGGCAATACCACTTCACTTGTTCTCATTATGTTGCAGCATCTCAGCATCGCAACTTTGCCTATGAGACCCAGATACCGTCGGAGTTCAGTGTTGACAGCCTTGTACAGACTTGGTCTCCCCGTTTCGAGCCTTTCCTGGACGAGGGTCAGTGGCCACCTTACACTAGGCCAAAATACATTGCGGATCCAGGTACACTCCTCTCCTTGAGAGGGCTGGACTTGACGTTGTATCATTCCAGGTTCGCCGTGGGTTGCCTGCCTTCAACCCCACAGCGATCTCAGCTCTAGTCGACAGGTACCAAAATTATGAACAGATTCACTTCCATTTATATTTTCGGTTCTCTATGTGCATATAACCGTAGTACTTCTTTCTTGTTTTGTAGATGGAGGCGGAGACTCACAACTTCCACCTACCTTGTGGTGAGATGACCGTTACTCTTCAGGACACACAGAAGTTCCTAGGTGTCCGTATAAGTGGCCGCCCAGTTATTGGGCACTACACTGTTGCTGGTTGGAGAGGTAGAGTGGAAGTATTCCTTGGAAGAGAGCTTCCTCCAGTGACATCGGGTGCCCGCTCCTCTGGAGTACTCATTAGTTGGCTGAGGCAGAACTTTGGTCAGTGTCCTGATCATGCAGACGAGCAGACAGTTACCTACTACTGCAGGGCATGGATCATGCACCTTTTTGGTTGTGTTATATTCCCCGACGCGACGGGAGACACCGCGTCATGGATGTACCTGCTTTGTCTTACTGACTGGGACACGGCGGGGGGCTACAGCTGGGGTTCTGCAGTGCTGGGTACTTGTACCGACAGCTTTGCGAGGCGTGCCACTGGAGTTCGCGGAACTCTTCATTAGGAGGATGTGTTTACCTGCTTCAGCTTTGGATGTGGTCTCGTCTACCGGTCGGTCAGCCCAAAGTTGTTGATCCTCGTCTCCCTGGTTCGAGGTGCATGGGCTTCGACGTCGGCCGACATATGCCTACCTTTGGGACCAGGTTAAGGGTCCCTTCGCCCGGAGTAAACGCGCCTACATCGAGTTCGTGAACAAGCTCGACGCAATCATGCCAGGGCTGGTGAGTTAGCTGCATTTCACATACTAATTTGTTTTTCCGATGTAAGCACTACTTGACTAAAGAATCAAATGCAGGTTATTTGAGAGCCGTACGACAACGAACAGTACGAGCACATTGGGTTCAGCATCATGTGCAAGATGGACGAAGACCTGTACCTGATGCGGTGCCCGTTGATCTATTTCTACGCGGTTGAGTTCCACCTGCCACACCGGGTTGCACGCCAATTTGGGTTGAGGCAGGAGTGGCCCGTGGAGCCGTTCTCGACATCAATAGACTTGCACAAGTAAGCGTCTTTTACACTGTTGTATACTTTATTGAATATTTGAAACAAACAGTGGGAGAAAATGGAAAAGAAAACTCTAATACCATCTATGCATTTTGTAGAAATTCTGAACTGATAGTTAATTTATTTAATTATTGTACACAACTTAATAGAGTGCTAACTGTTGAGGATAGTATTCACTACCTGCATTGCATAACAAAAAAGAAAGCACAATCAAATTGATTGCAGATAGCAGATAGTTTCAAATACCACACAGTTCTATTATGTATCCTGTTTCCTGCAGTGAGTCACTTCTGTTTAAAAACCAGATAGTTTCAAATACAGTTCTATATGCAGCTGCTACTAGAAGTACCATTGCAAAATTTGCATTTAACTGTGCATTGACCAAAAACAACTTCCACAATACCTGTTCAGTGTATCCAGAGTTCCTTGACATAACTACACCCCAGCGGCTTCCTGCAGTTGTCATTGATGTAACATGAAAACCTTCTTTCCATTTCTTGTTGATCCACTTGTAGGGGAATGATTCGCTAACTTTGTAAGACTGCTGAGTGTAAGGAGTTCCTGCAAAGAGTAAAAAGGCTCAAGTAATGTAACTCATGTGGTAATTCTAAACCGAAATGCACAGATGCATCAGGTTGGGTATTTTCCCAGGTTGAGATGGTTTCGCTATATTGGGTAGGGTTTTGTATCAAAAAATTCAGCCCACACCCGACCCAGTGTCCAGACTGAAATCGTGGCCCATGCCCACCCAATACACTGGTCAGGTCAACCAGTCAATGATCAGGTCTACTTGTGTGTATTCTCAATGTTATCTTGTAACATAACTTGAAACTAGAAAGCAAACAAGAACGTGAAAACCACCAGGATCCAGTTATAACCAATTGCTTTGCATGCTATAGCATACATGAGTCAGCATAGAACATTTAACTGTGTATATGTTTGGTCAGTAACACTGACAGCAGTAGGCACCACCCAAAGATTTTTCATATGAATGTAATAAATATGAGAGGCCTCCAATACAGCCATCAATTGGGACATACCTTTTGACATGACCACCAAGGAACTCCCGTTCGTTGAACCAGCTATGGCACTGATGTAGTAGTTATTTTCCCACTGCTCCATAGTCCAATCCTAAAGTGCAAGAAAAGGCACCTTGTAGCTTAAAATGTAGCCTTGCTTAGAAAAGCACTATGCTTGAGAATTGAGACCATACCTTATGGAGGAATATGGGTGACAGTTCATATACTTGGGATGTGAAACCAGTCCCTGCATCCATAATGAGGTCCCAAAGATTTGCTGAAGATGCTACTGAACTAATGAACAATCCATCTTCATTACCCTTCTCTATGTGTTGATGAAGTCTGGCATCTGCTACATTGTAATGGTATCTGAAAGGAAAGAAATCATTTTAGAGCATAAAGCCATATAACTACTTTAGATGATACATTTTACTTAATAACTTATAATCTACAGTTGTGGTACATTCTCAACTATCTTTTTTCCAGGACATTTAAAACGGCAAAGCACTATAAAAATTTTACATGGTTGCTGTTAATAAAAATCTGCAGTTGTGAATGCAGCACAACTGTGTGCATATAGCATCTTGGTTACAAAAAGCTTTCCCCACCTGTTACTTGATTAAAAAAATAAAAAGCTTCAAGTTTGTGCCGACTAATATGTGAAGCTCTATAGACTGCAATTTCATTTCTGTCACCCTACAGGATCGATCGTCGGAAACAAAAGAAGGAGACGGACTTTGAGACCTTGCACCGTGACTACATCGACCACTGGGATCACTTTCATGAGAACTTATATGAGAATGACCGGCCCCACACGAACGAGAACTTTAGAGTGTACCTATCTTGGTACAGACGGGCAACAAGGACCAAGCTGAAGGTGCAATGGACCCAAACAGACTATGCCGACATCGAGTCCTCCAACGATGAACAAACGTCTTACGACCTTGACGACGAGGGCCGAGACACAGGTGGAGCCTGCGCCGATCCTGGACCGAGTGGTAATGTCAACTATAACCCCATTATTTAAATACCATTCATAGACTTAGTTCTTTTGGCATTTGACTTTCAGTTGAAAAGTGTCTTGGAATATCTCAAGTATTATACCTCACACAAAGCTAACTTGTACAGTTAAATTAAGTAGTTGCAAAGGTACCATAACAACTATTAGCTGCAGCAATCTTTCAAAAAAATATATTAGCTGTAGCATCTTTGATTATCAGTAGATGTTGCTGAATTTTGATTATCAGTACATGGTTTCCATTATCAGATTACTGCATGTTTTTTTTTTTGAAAACAGATCTGAAGTAGCAGCGATCTTATTTTGCTTAAACACTAGTAGTAGCAGTGATCTTATTTTTCTTATTGTTGTCAACCAATACTAGCAGCAACCTCTTCTAGTGAATGATGACGAGAACAAAATGGTTAGGAGTGAGAAGCGGATTATGTGGCTGATTTTGCAATGGGACACATCTGTAGGCCTCGTTACTTCTTCTCATGGAGGTACTAGCGCTGCGACTGTGGACACTTTTCAAGGCCACGGAGACGAGGACGACGAGGAAGATGACGAGGAGGCCAAGGAGCGTGGTTATGATGAGCTTGCCGAGTCTCAGCTTCAGGACGCTCCTTCGACTCAGCCTATGCAGGTTGCAGGAACGAGACGACGCCGTCCGCCTTGCACGTACACTCTAGGCACCTACGATCTTGGCCACAAGGGTAAGGGTAAAACCAGGAGGCAGTGACGACGACTTGTGTGGAGATTCGATGTCACAAACTATTTGGGCTGCATGGACTTTGCTTATTTTGCATGTGTGAAGATTTAGAAAGTATGTAGTTACTTTCCTATAACTATTTGGGATTGTATGGATATTGTGGACTATTTGGACTATGCAGGATATGTTATGTTGATTGTGATGTTCGATGTGGTTGTATTGTGCTCTTTGGATGATTAAATATTTGGATTATATAATGATGTCTCTATTTGTAACCGTGGATGCTCCTGAAACAAGGGACACTTTTGTGTTTTTTTTCTTTGAATCATTAATTATACTACACTGCTAAAAAGGCACAAATGTAGTACACATATTAAATTTAAATTTATTAGAACATGTATAGTCCAATCATATCGTACAGACGCTTTGCAGATGAATCTAGGCTTTTTAGTAATAGTGAATGAATTTAGGCTTTTCAGACAATAGTACACCTATAGAAATTGTGGTTTGCTCAAGATAGGACGGCATGTAAGGAAGCACAACTCCACTCCATCTCCATCATCCATCTTATTACTGTTTGATCCAAGGGCTGAGGTGAAGAGGCACACGGATCGCTGACATGACAAATTAAGAGGTCTCCATTCCTCCTCTCAACCTATAAAAACCCTCTCACTCCCTCTCATTCACACACGCAACAAGAAAGAAGAGCACTCCTCACCATTTTCTTTCGTTGCAGTACCAATGTCTGGAGGGTCATCCAGAGGAAGAGGAAAGAGGAAGGAAACTACCATTAGGTGAGAGGGTCCTCTTGGTCCCGATTTCTTTGAGGAAGCTCTTTATGAGAGGTTCCCAGTTGAGAGCAAAAATAATTTCACCAAAGAGCCACCACTAAGAGGATACGATGAACGGAAAGAAGAGTGGTCAAAATGCATGCATGGTGAGGACTGCCTAGTGCAGATGTTCACCGAGGGAATAGATGGAGGTCGTCGTTTCTTTAAATGCCCGCGAGCATGGTAATTGCTATTACTATTTGTTTCTTCAATATGTTTCTCTTCTATACAACTTACATGACATATTTATTGCAGTCTTCCTTGGTCGAAGAAAACTATAGGTTCACTAGGTGGGTCGATCCTCGACCTATTTATCCACATGCGGAGTACATCTACTACCTGCAGGACCGTATCTTCGATCTAGAAAGGAAAGTTAGCGGCGGTTACAAGGACGACAAACAGGATGACGACAATAATGGTGCCAGTTCACAGGAGGCACTCTGCAATGATTCATATTGCACCTGCCCTAGTCATAGGAACAAGTGTCCTCCGTCGCCACCCCCACCGCCACTACCACCAACAATGGGAGGATACTTTGGAGAAGGTGCAACACAATTTGCTATGTGGCCACACTACTAGGACAAACCAATCTTTTTAGGGCAATTCCTTGTGTGTCATTAAAAAGATCGCAATGCCCTGTGTGCCCCTGGAAAAGTTTAGCGGTCTTCAGCGCCACTGCTCTAAGTTTTTTGTGCCCTCCATGCCACTGCCGTCAGTTTGGGCTCTAACGCCGTCAAACTGCAGGTGTGAAAAGTCAAAAATACCATTAAGTCTAAATATGTCATTAATTTTTTTCAGCATCTTAACGACTTTAAATGAAAAAACTCAAAACTAGAAAGTTGTAGATGTCGTCGAGATCTATAATTTTTATACGAAAATTATAGATCTCGACAAGATCTACAACTTTCTAGTTTTGAGCTTTTTCATTTGAAGTCGTTACGATGCTCAAAAAAATTAATGACACATTTAGACTTACGGGTATTTTTGACTTTTCACACCTGCAGTTTGACGGCGTTAGAGCCCAAAGTGACGGCAGTGGCATGGAGGGCACAAAAAAGTTGGAGCTATGGCGCTGAAGACTGCTGAACTTTTCTAGGGACACACAGGGCATTGCGATCTTTTTTAATGGCACACAGGGAATTCCCCATTTTTTTTAAAGGGCCACATCCATGTGTTTGTTTTTTTGGTTTAATCAGCTAAGGCATGTTAGGGTTAGTTGAAGGAAATATGTACCCTTGTGAAGGGGCCGTGACGCCTAAGAGTGGGGGGTGAATTAGGCAACTTAAAAATCTACTCCTAAACTATGGCCTCTTTTTCTACCCTTAGCAAAATCTATGCAAAAGATAAACTATCTAAATGTGCAACTACGGTTTGCTAATGTGTTGCTATCTCTACCGCAAAATGAGTAATGTAATTAATATAAATGGGGAAACTAAAGAGCAAAGTAGAGATATGCAAACTCCCGTCGACGACTCTGGTATTTTTACCGAGGTATCGAGAAGCGCGCAAGCTTCCCCCTAGTCCTCGTTGGAGCCCCTCGCAAGGGCCAAGCTCCCAATCGGGTAACTCCATGGATAGTCTCGGGCCTTCCCCACGTGCAAGTGGGTCTCCGACGTGCCTTTCGGCAAGCCTCTCTCGAATGCTCCCCACCGTCTTCACTATCAAGCTTCCGGTCAAAACGTCACGGGCCTTGTTCCCTCCAGTACACGGTGGCGGCCACACCACAAACGCGGTTGGTGTGATCTCACAAGACTACAAGCCCCTCCGATGTACAACAATGGTGCGCGCAAGCACCGAGTGGTAAGAGATATGCAAACCTCACTAAACACTAGGCCTAAACCTAGAGCAAGCGCATGAGCGGTGGTCTAATCAACCTAAACACTTCGCAAAGCACCTACGCTGATCACCTGATGAATCACTAAACACTATGCAAGTGGAGATTACTAAAATGGTGTATCAACACACTTGATATGTTTCCTCCGCTCCACACAACTCAAATGGCCGGTTGGGGGTTGTATTTATAAGCCCCACGAGAAAAGTAGTCGGTGGGGTCGAATTCTCACGAAACTGCTACTGACCAGACGCTAAATCGTCCTGACCGGACGCGTTCGATCGTCCCGACCATTGAGCCAGCAATATACTGATCGGACATTGGCCAGTGTCCGGTCGCCTGCCACCGGACGCGTCCGGTCGTAGATTTGCTGCTCTGGAACCTTACTATACTCGATCGGACGCTGTTGTCCTGCGTCCGGTCGGTTGCCACTAGCGTCCGGTCCAGTGTCCGGTCGCCTATCTACCGAGTCCTCTGCCCAGCGTCCAGTCACCTCAGTGAGCTCGTTTCTTTGCGATCTTGCATATGGCTTGGTTCCAATCTTCGTGCTTGGACTTTGCTTGATATCTTGGGTCTTCTCTTGTGCTTCTAAGGCCTTTCTTAAGGTGTTGATCATCAGATCACCACGTCGCCTTCGTCCAAGTCACGTCTTGCACCCTATTGAACTACAAAATAAACACTTGCAAATTCATTAGTCTAATTTGGTTGTGTTGGTCATCAAACACCAAAATCC